GCGGTCGCTGGCTCCGGAGCCCCGAGGACGGGTCTGTGTCCGGGCGGGCTGTGGTGGGGGCTCTGTGCGGCCGTGCTCCCGGCAGAGCCCCGCAGCAGGACTGGGGGGCGTTCGGGACTGACGGCGCTAACGCGGAGCACACCAGCCCTTTTTGAGTCACCGGAGATGTTCCAGGCCTTATCGCCGGGTGGAGTCGCTCTCAGATCCTATAACTTAAGATTTTTAAGACGCTTTCGAAAATTCTGAAGAAATAATTTTCAGTCTCTCGAGCTAAATGCGTCTCTTCCCTTTTCATAGCGCCTGGTGAGAGTGAGCGTTCCCTTTTCTCGGGAGGAAATGTGAAGTTTCATTCGATGGTATTTCTGGGAGGGGTTATTAGTTTATGGAATTGTGCACTAAACGTGGTTTAAAAACTCAAAGGCTTGAGTATGACGTGTAACAAGTGTTTTTCTTTAAACCACATATCGGTCTAAACTTTAAAAATTCCTTAACAAGAGATTGTTTTAAAGTACGTGCTGTTTAGGAAGAATGTATGAGGTTGCAGCTTTGATAACTGTTTAATTCTTTGTTTTCACTCTGTGTGCTGGGAAGGAGGTACAGTGGAAAGCATAGTTTGTACGTGTGTATGTATAGTTACATTAAAATGCACATATGTAGGTAACTCTAAATTTGGCATCAGATGAGGATAATACTCCTTAAATTTATTTTTGGGGGAGAGGAAGATACAGGTATAAAGTGCCAATGCTAATGTTTCCCTTGAGAAAATAGTTTAAAATCAAGGGTGCATGTTGTGGGGGCAGTGCATTTTACCATAAACCAAGGCTTTTTCCATAGGTAGGCAAAACTTGTTTCACAGGTAAATGCAAATATAGCTACAATTTAAATATTTCCAAGGTTGGTACTTGATGGGTTGAGTTTTCTGAAATGAGCTTCAACAAAATCTTCCAGTAAATGCAGCAGGGTTCTAGTTTTGTATCCCCTGGGCCGTTGTGGCAAACTGACACCTGATGCTGTTTGAACTGGAACCTGACGCTGTTACACCATTAAATGTAATGCTAAAAAGTGAACTAACCAGGAGCTTTCTGTATTTTTGGCAGGTACAGCCAAAAGCTGAAGCTGTAATGCACCCATGAGCAAGTAGTGCCAGTCGTGTACATCAATGGCCTCTGTGCCAATGATTCCAGACTCTTACAACCATGTGTTGGCAGAGTTTGAATGTTTGGATCCCTTGCTTTCTGCGCTCAGGCTGGATTCCAGTCGTCTGAAGGTGAGGTTGTGGTGTTTGGGGGTTTTTTTGTGGCTTTTGTTTGTTATTATTTTTAAAGTTCAAATAATGATCTTATTTAGTTTATTATCTGATTATCCCACGGGATTCATCTTCTTCTTTTTGGGTGTGTTCGTGCTAGCTTCTGGGAACTCTGTTACTCTGTGTGTTTTCTTAATGCAGCTGTGGGGTAAATAATACAACAGTTGCTGTCTTCTACTGTTCGCTCCAGTTGCAGAGAGCACTATTCTAGTATCTTTGACTGTACTGCCAGTGTTTCAGGAGCGGTATACACAGCTGGCAAACAATGGAGCCTTTAAAAAAATAACATAGTAGGGCAAGAAAAGATACCGTTATTAGAACTTGCTAGTAGCCATGCTGTGCATGATGATTTTTATTCCTTCAGTGCACGTGTGTAGCTGTGTCGAAGAGGTGGCTCGCTCTAGGCAGCTCAGGAGGAGGATTGAATCTCATACAGAAAGATGGTTGGAAGCAGAGACTCTTCCTTGCTCATAAGGTAAGGGTGAAGAATTCTGTACAAAAAATTATTTGAAAAAATGGGACTGGGAGAGAGACATTGTTTGGGTTAATTTTTATTAAGAGTCAACGGGCGTTTTCAGCTTGCTGAATTGTCCAGGTAAGGTGATGAGGGTTTGGACTGCTCCATTTAAAAAAGGCTGTGGTGCTGGAGTGTCTCCCCAGAGTGTGTGGTGTAATAAGATTTCATGAGGTGTGAAAGAAAGTACTTGAGAGGGTCAGGCCTTTGTTTTTCTAATTCTTAGCCTTAACAGCAGCAACAAAGTCACCTGAATATTTAAGGATTAGAAGAAAACCTTGAATATGAAACCAGAGCAACTCGCATGTAGATAACTACCAATGTTTGGATGTCCAAGCTATGAACTACCCAGATAATCAAAGAAAAGACAGGCTGACTTGCTTTTGCTGAAAGAGGTCATGGAACAAGGATTGCTGTTTCTACACCCAAATGCTACTTGCGGGGAGCCACTGCTGCTCCCACCATAACATGAACACAGCCATTTTTGTAAGGCTGGGAGTATCTGGTGTACTTCTGGCAAAACACCTTCTGTGGACGTGAGGACAGGAGACTGACTTCTGTGTTTTCCAAATCAGAGCCTGAACTGCAGTCATTTCTCTAGGTGTTGTCATGTTGTTGTCAGCTGCATCTCTTTAGAGTAGGCTGTGTTTGCAAACAAACCCAAATGAACAAAAAAACCCCACATAACAATGAAGTGGTAGCTGCTGTTGCCATAAATCTGGTTTATGTCTTAGAGAGAGAAGCTGCATAGTGGTAAAGGCGGTACAAGAACAACTTTTACCTGCACTTACTCCCATACTTGCTTTCAGGAAGGTGCCATTTCCCGGGTTGCCTGTTGTTTACATGATGAAGACTATGTTGCTGTTGCCACCAGGTGAGTGATGTACTTACAAACCTGAATTCTAGATCAGTATTCTTAAGTAGCTTCTCAGTTTCAGACTTGGACATCCAAGCCTGGATGGGGGCAGGGAATTAACTGGTAGAAGCCTCTACAGAGTAATTCTCTGCACAGACAGTTTGCTTAACTTTTTTTTCTGGAATAATTGTTCCAGAATAAGTTTTATTTCTGTAACGGAACATCTATGGGAGAGTGAATGCATGTGAAGTTATGATAACTGTCTCCCTGAGACCTTTCAGCATTGAAAGAAATATCTTAATTAACTTGGCAGAGCAAGATTGGTAGTTAACACCACTTACATTATTTACAATCCATTTAAATGCTTATTTGTCCACGTTCTCACTGGCAATTCCAGTAAATGTGAGAGTAGCCTTCCAAACAAAGCTGCTGACGCATTGTAGTGCAAGGAAAGACACTTATTCTTCTTCAGAATTAAGAATGTGAAAGTACATACTTCTTGAAAGTATGCTCGAAGATTTGCTTGGTTTTTCTGTTTCTTGGAATAATGCATTTTTATCACTGATAAAAAATTGGAAGACATTCTCAAATTGTGTTTTCTTTTTTAATTGTTGTAGCCAAGGTCTTGTAGTAGTCTGGGAGCTGAATCAGGAGCGTCGCGGGAAACCAGAACGGATTTATGTTTCCTCTGAGCATAAAGGCAGAAAAGTCACAGCTCTGTGTTGGGATACAGCTGCCCTCCGTGTTTTCGTAGGAGATCATGTGGGAAAAGTATCCGCTGTCAAGATTAACACATCAAAACAAGGGAAGGTAAAATGTCCCATACTTTGTTTGAGATGAAGAGGTTCCCAGGGGATGACGTGTGGAATCTTTTTGTTTAGTTTGGTAAAGTAGAACAGAGGAAGACTTGCCAGATGATGAAGTTCTGGTAACTTGGACTGTTGGGATGAAGAACCAGTCTCTTGAAACAGCAATAGAAATCCTAACCTGTGAACTTCCCCCTCCATGTACAGAATTAGAAACTGGCCAAGCTTCTTCCTCTTGGAATTTACAAGTATCCAAGCCCAGGCCCTTGTTTCTGAGCCTGTTGGATTCCTTGGACTCCAGCTACAGGCTCAGCTGTGTGTTTTAGCCCTTAGCTCAGATGCTGGTCTGAGAACGGGCAATCCCAGACTCTGATTTGAATTTCTTCTGCCTGGATACTCTCATTCTTAAAGATGTGGATTAGCTAAAATAAATGGTAGGTGGATGTCAAGCTTACATCCATTACCTTTGGTGCGAAGGGCGCACAAATGAATGATACCAGCCTGATTTCTAGCCCCTGAGTGCTCTCTGAGTTTTACCATTACTAGGTCCTTCTCCTTTTACTCTGTAAGAAGGAGCATGGAAGCGTGTTCCTTAAGGTCCGTTCTAACTCTCGTTGAAGATTTTGGTGGAAAATTGATTTAAAAATACTAAGAAGGAGCAGAAAAGTCCAACTGTGGAAAGAGAGGGAAAAGGAGAGAAGGGCAAGGCTCCCAGAATGTGTCTGCTCCTGCCTGTTAAAGGAGTTGGAGTGTTGAATCTCTCATGTAATGCACTTTGTTGGAAGGAGAACATGGCACATGGCAAACACAGAAGACAGCTTTAAGCTGTCAAAAATCCTCTGATTCTGTGAAAAATGGTAACTGCTAGAAAATTGGAGTGCAGTTCCCAGTAGTTTTTCATAAGAAGTCTGTCTTTGTTCTGCCATCTGTGCAAATTGAGACACTTGTGTAACAAATAGCATTTGGGTAATTTGCTGCAAGGTAATAGAGAAAGTGAGTGTATGTAAACAACCTAAACCTGATGGAAGTTTTTTTTGTATCAAGTAATCCTTCAGGTCTGTTGCCATAAAGCTGTTTGCTGTCTGAAAGTACCCGTGGGAGAGAATTGACAAAAGCACAAAGCTTACACAAAGCAAGAATAAAGCCCCCTCTTAATGGTACAGAAAATGCACTCTCTATGAAGAAATATCAGGATGCTACAGGGATATGATTTTTTTTTTTTTTCTTAAAGCTTCAGTAATGCTTTTGGGAAAAGGAGAATTTAGACTTTTATGCCTCTAAGCATTGGAGCCTTATTTTGCAAAGGAAAGAAGAAAGAAACTGCTCTGCCTTATGCTGTGTATTCGTAGCATCCATGAATCTTTTCTGAATTTTGCAATTTTAATGTAATGGAATAGTCTTTCCTTTTAATTGAGGTCCAGTATGTTTTTTTTTTTTTTTTTTTTTTTTTTTTTGTTTCTAACTGTAGGCTGCTGCTGCTTTTGTGATGTTTCCTGTTCAGATTATAACCACCGTAGATTCTCGGGTTGTTCAGCTTGATTATTTGGATGGAAGACTGCTCATATCTTCACTTACACGCACTTATTTGTGTGATACCGAGAGGCAAGTTATACTTTACTTGTAAAATATTGGACTTTACAGAGTCGCACTGAGCTTCTGAAGTGACGTTTGGAGATCATCTGGTCTAATTTTATTTTTAAAAAGAAGGCTTTTGGCCTTTGCCAAAAGGGCATGCTGCTGGCTCATGGGCAGCTTGTTCACCAGGACCCCCAGCCTCTGAAAAAAACCTTCATGATCTGAGCATTTGTTTACACTAAAAGTATTTCTGCACCCTGTCCTTTATAACCTTAATGTAGGCTTTACAATATTAATTGCAGATATTTTTTTTAAGCACCAATTCAGCAATTAGGATTTAGTATTTTTATTCTCCAAGAACTACATAAAATTAATTAGAGCTGTTATTAATGCTGCCTTAACAAGTATGGGGTTTTTTTCCACTAGAGAGAAGTTCTGGAAAATTGGTAACAAAGAGAGAGATGGAGAATTTGGAGCATGTTTCTTCCCTGTTGGAAAAAATGGTGGGCATCAGCAGCCTTTAATATATTGTGCTCGACCTGGCTCAAGGATGTGGGAGGTCAACTTTGACGGGGAAGTGCAAAGCACACATCAGTTCAAGCAGCTGCTCTCATCGCCGCCTCTCCCTGTTGTTAGTCTCAGGTAGAAGCATGAGTGTTATCGGTGATAAACTTACTTGGGACTTCTAGACTAGCTGAAAAGAACTGCATTAATGCTGAGAAGATTAAGTAAAGTCCTAGTGCAGTCAAACGTTTTCCTCTAACAACAGAAGGCAGTTGTTGAGTGCTAAAACCTTGATTCTGCAGGTATGTCTGTGGGACCACCACAATGAATGCTGCTGTCATAAGACTGTGTTTATTTAAGACAGCCTTGTATTTACAGGGTTAAGGATATTATATTAAGAAAGTGGTATTATTGTAGTTTTGCTTGTAACGATAATAATTTTACTTTACAGGCTGGATCCTCATTATACTAATTCCAGCTGCTCTCCACAATCTTTATCTTTCCCCAAGCTACTATATTTGAGGTGAGTATTTGTCAGCATAGCTTCCTCTTGATAAAGGAGTCTTAAAATAAGTTGTATAGTCTCCTAATTTATGTTATCAACTTTATCTGTTTGCATAAGAATGTTCCAAGTATCATACTAAACAACTGTCTCACTTCTTGCTTGCTGTACTTAAGCCAATGCCATCCCTGCATATTTTACAGTGACTGCCACAATTAACTGTTGCTTCGTTAATTTCTGCTTTGCTTGCAGTGAGCACTATGTGATGACCTGGACAGAAAGAGGCATTTATATTTTTCTTCCCCAAAGTGTTCAAGTCTTACTCTGGAGTGAAATAAAAGGTAAACTTTAAGAATCTTAGCTTGGTAATATCCTTTGTTACGTTTGTCACTTCTGAAGTCCTTGCCTAACATGGAGTCTTTTCAAGCTCAGTTTCTGCAGATGGATTGCAGAACACTGACCAGACAACAATTTTTCCTTGTCATCTGTCAGGTATATCCTTGAACATTAACCCTCGCCCCACCTCCTCCAGCCAGCCCCTCCCTCCATGCTTCTGCAGACATGCTTGAGAAACAAAATGTGGTGTAGTGTGAATCTTAAAATATGGTAATCAGATAGTGAGAGGCAATAACCTGCAGTATTAGTGAGGAAAAACCTGCAGTATCCTTTCCTTATTTCTGTTTATTCGGGTTTATTGTCAGGTGTACTGTGAAGGATAACGTGGCTGCTGAAAGCTTAAAACTGTTTTTTTTTCTAGCACCTGAGTTGCAGCCAGGGAGTGCACCTATTTGGGAGATGAGTGAACCCTCCGAAATGGTTTTGTGTGTCTGGTTATAGGCATAGTCCTAGAACGGTTGGTCATTGTCACTCAGTCTCTTCCTTCCCCTTCTCTTCTCCCACTTTTGGTGTTAAATTTCCGATGCCTTTGTCATGGAGTGTTTGCAGTTAGCCTAACTGTTTCATTTCAAAACTGCTGAAAGGTCAAAGTATTTTTCTACTAGCAGATATTTTTTCTGTTTCAAAGCTAACAGTGATGTATTTCTCATCTGGATCAGTCTTTAGTTTTTTGTCCCCCTTCATAGGAAAAGAAAACTTTCTAGTAACTTTAGTGTACTTTTTGAAATTCAAGTCCAGAAAGTTTTGATACTTTAACTGTGCTTTAGCACTCTCTGGTGTTTGTTTTCCCCATGCCAATTGTGCTACAGTGTATTAGGCTTTTCCATGCGTTTGCAGTCAGATGGAAATATGTTTTCACTCTTTCAGGAGTAGAAAAGAATGCTGACTAACCGTTTTAGTCCTTTAGATATTTCTGTGCATCTGGTTTTGCAGATATTCAGGATATTGCAGTTTACAAAAGTGAGTTGTTCTGTCTGCATACCAATGGAAAAGTTACGCACCTCTCCCTTCTGCTGGTGGACCGCTGCATAGAGCGTCTGATTAGAAGAGGGTTCTGGACCCTTGCTGCCAGGGTCTCTTGTCTCTTCCAAAATTCAATTATTTCTTGCAGAGTAAGTAAATATCTCTTTGTAAATGTGCAATAGAACTTACACTCTGTTTCCTGTCCCCATCTTCCGTTAAGTTTGATAGGTTTCTGAGACTCGCATTCTTGGAGTTTTTAAGAAGTCTTCTCAACATAGTACTTCTAGGATGAAAGTCAGCCTGCATATATGGTACCTTTTGCTTTTCACATGTGCATTAGAAATAATAATGCTTCTGTTTCACTGTGTACTTGTAGGCAAGAAAAAATTTGCCTCTAGACAAGTTGGAGCACTTGAAGTCTCAGCTGGATGCCTCAACCCAACAAGATCTCATTACACAACTGGAGGAACTAATTTCAAAGTTGGAACCTCTAGATTCCGCATGCAGCAGCAGAAGGAGCAGTATTTCATCTCATGTATGTGGATTGGTAGTGCCAAAAATGTTACCTGCAGACTTTATCTCTGGCTTAAAATCACCTTGTTGCTCACTTTGAAGATGAGGCTTTCATTTTTGCTGTATCTACTATAGCTGATAACATGGCTTCCTAAAATCAGGTGGGGTAGAGAGGTACGATATATTACTACTTGCATTCTTTAAGCTCTCGGACCTCTGCCTTTTTTCCATATTTTGTGGCTAATGATTGAGACAGGGACAAAGACTGTTATGAAGGCGGCTTTTTCCACAGCCGAGTTTAGTGTCTTAACATGCTTCAGTAAAGGTCATCTTGATTGTAACTGTAGATTTATGTTGTGAAAACCAAAGGTCTGAATGCTCAGAAGTAGCCTAGCCCTATTTAAAAAATGGTCTCACTTTGTGAAGCTTAAGGAGAAACCTCTAAGGAAAAAGAATCAAAGCATATTTCTAATATTCTTTTACATGTACAGGTGGTTGGTGTTGTCTTGGCTTCCCAGCAGCTTTTCAAGAAAGGGGAAGCATTCCATAGTTAATACTGTATCAGTTGTTGCTTACACCCTAACATTGTTTAAAGGGTAAAGTTTAAAAAAACAAAGTAATTAAATTCCATCTTGATGTAGCAGACAAGATTTTTTCAGTAACAAATGAGAAAGTAAACTACACAGACTGCCCGTCAGCAAAAGGATGTACATGTGTCCCAGAACCAAACAGTTTTACAGGGTCTGTGGTTGTGCTAGCTGGGTATGGTTATCCAGCAAGAAGAATACGGACTCTTGTGTACAGAGGTACAGAGGGATGAGGTGCCAGTGCTGGATGCAGGACTGAAGCAAGAGATGGCTTTTTTTGTTTCATGGTCTTATACTAAGCACACCAGTAGTTCTGCAGGCTGCTTTCCTACAAGCAGTGTATACATCTTTATTATAAAGGCTTTTCCAGACAGTGTATTGTGAAGTGCCATGAGGTTATTTGTGTGGGTATGGTTGGTCGAGTTAATTGCAGGATGTTTCACAAGAAAGTACAACTCACACAACGTTAACTCCTCTCCTTTGTCTGACAGGAAAGCTTCAGTGTCTTAGACTCTGGAATATATCGTGTTATCAGTCGAAGAGGCAGTCAGTCAGATGAAGATTCATGTTCTCTCCACAGTCAGACGTTCTCAGAAGATGAGAGACTTAAAGAATTTCCTGCACACCAGGAAGATGAGCAAGTAGAACTTGGTAACATTTCTTAATGAAAATGTTATTCAGATGCAGTTTTTATTTAATCTACAAGAATTTGATTGGTCTGGTTCTGTGCTCTTATTTTCCATTATCAAGTTATGCATGATTAAATCCTCTAATTTGATGAATGGAAACACAGTTCCCAAGCTGAAAACCAAACACAACCTAGAGAAACAAAACAATAGGTCCAGAGGGCTTGTACCAAACTAGGACTTCACTCTTCTTTTATTTTTTTTTCCCCCCTCCTCCCTCTGTGTGCAATTCAGCATTAATGCTAGGGTTCTCTGAGTTGGCTATACCCGTGTTTATTGAGCTTCAAATGAGATTTGTTTGCTGCCACTATCCTTCCAGTAATATTAGTTCCAGGAAAGAATTTCTTAATCTTGGCTCTGGCTTTCTATTTCTTCAGGGAAAACAGTAGGCTTATGGTAAGTGTTCTTAACTTTCCTGCAGGGTTTCATTTGTACAAGGGATCATCTCTTACACATGTATACATTAGCACAGCAATGATAAAATTGCTAATAACTAACATTTAGACCATCCAGGGAGCTTTTTAATTTCCTAACAAGTACCTGTCACTGTATGAAAGCTAGAGTGAGACAACAGTGGGTCTTTTTCTCTGCTCTGGTTGGGACTGGGAGGGGATGCAGAAACCTGGGATGATGAGGAGCTGGCTTAGTGCCAGGTATGGTTGAGAGGCTTTCTAGTAAAGAGAGACTTTGCAGAAAGTAGGTGCCAGTTGAGGATGGAGGGAATTTGTGTGTTTTGTTGGGGAAAACCAGTGAGAAGGGAGAGGATACGAATTAGTATTTACTCCTCGTCAGTAGTGTTGTCCTGCTGACTAAACTACGTGCTGTTTGTAGGACTTAAATTTGCATTTGCTTCTTTACCTACATCACCATAAAAACAAGAAGTGAGAAAATTTGGAATGATGTGGGTAATTACCGATATTAAAACTATAAAATTAAAGGATGTCTCTTTTGAATGTCAGAAGATAGAAAAGTTCTCTCTGACCAGAGATAACAAATTTGCTGATTATTTCAAAGCAGAGAAGTTCTAGATGCTTCTTGAAGCACATGTACTTAATTTGGTATTTAAGAGAAATGGACTTAGTGTTTCCTTGCTCACATTTACGTAAGATATCATAAGTTTTTACGTTTCTAATCTGCATAATGAACAAAAGCAGCCTTATTTACAAGCAATCTTAAAATCAGTTGTGACCTTTAGGCACTATCTAGAGAGAGGGTGGATTCTGATGGTAGAATTTCTGTTAGAGCATAGCATCTTTTTCTCTCAACAGTGCAGGTGGCACTGACTGTTGCAAAATGCAGCGTCATCCTTACTTAAAAGGATCCTTTTTTTCTTCCTTACATA